TAAGAGGATGAAGAGTATGGTGTGTGTGTGTGTGTGTGTGTGTGTTAAGAGGATGAAGACTATGGTGTGTGTATGTGTATGTTAAGAGAATGAAGACTATGGTGTGTGTGTGTGTGTGCGTGTGTTAAGAGGATGAAGAGTATGGTGTGTGTGTGTGTGTGTAGAGAATGAAGTTTCTGTGTGTATGTATTAAGAGAATGAAGACTATGGTGTGTGTGTGCGTGTGTGTTGAGAGGATGAAGACTATGGTGTGTGTGTGTATGTGTGTGTTGAGAGGATGAAGACTATGGTGTGTGTGTGTGTGTGTGTGTGTGTTGCCTCACTTGCTCATGAATCCAGAGAAAGGCTGATTCACAAAAATCAGAAGGGACTCTCCGCCCACAAAGAGTATTTTCAAGAACACAGTGACATTGGCGAGAGAATCTCTGTCTCACTGCTGTTGAGTGGGTGGGCTTCATAGCGACCCCCTGGGGGTTTCCCAGACGCTAACTGTTTACAGGAGAAGAAATCCCAGTCTTTCTCCCTCAGAGCTGCTGGTGGTTTCGAACTGCCGATCATGAGGATCGCAGTCTAACTCATAACCACTGCGCCACCAGGGCTCCCAGCAGAAGATGGAACCAATGAAAGGGAAATGGATAAAGAAGCTTTTGAACGCTTCACTTTTTTTTTTTCCCAATCTCCACTTTTACTTTTTGCCATGTGTCTTTTCTGCCTTAGTCTCAGAAGTACCCCTTGAATTTAAGGCAAAAACTACATGAATCCCCTTTTACAACCAAAGGGACCATAGAAATGTCTATCGCCACCTAAACCCTGAGCAGTGGAGGAGAGAGAGGGATGTACACTAGACCAGGTGGACAGTCTTCCCCGGGCCTGCCATTTCCAATCAATGAACCTGGACAGGCAAGAAGCAATGCAGAAAGCCAAAGTACAAGTAAGCTAGGTGCTCCACCTACCTCTGATCTCCAACCAAGAGTCTGGCAGGACAAAGCTGGGGGCTATGAATTTCTTAGCCTCACCAAGCAGCGTAGCCTTCTGCTATATCTTCCTTACACACAGTTGCCACCCGGTAGATTCTGACTCAGGTAGGTCCCATGTGTGTCAGAGTGGGACTGACGTCATGGGGTTTTAGTGGATGGGCTTGTTTTGTTTCGTTTTTAAATATGGTTCCCCTCGTCTCTCTTTTGAGACATCTCTGGGTGGACTCCAACCTCTGACCTCTTGCAGCCAAGCATATTAATCATGGGACCCCAATGGCTAACCAACAGCCGTCAAGTATGACACGGAACAGTGTCTAACAAGGGATGTGTCCTTTGGGGACAAGACTGGAAACATAATTTCTCTGTTAAATAGAGATGTCTCTCAAAATAGTTGTTCTTAGCCTTTCCTTATTTTTCAGGTTTTATAAGACACTGATTCTAACAGAGAAAATCTGAAATCTGTTAGCAGTGGCCAAGTGTTAATAGATCAGTAGACAAATATGGTGAGGTCTGCTTGGATATACCAGTGTATAGGAAATATTATCCAAATAGATCTGCCTCTTTCACAGGTTCAAAAAGTTATACAGTGAACCCTCGTTTATCGCGGTTAATCGGTTCTAGACCCTACCGTGATAAATGAAATTCCGCGAAGTAGGATTCCTTATTTGTAAATAAAATATTTTCATAGTTAGAGCATAGAGGACATGAAAAAACACCCTTTAGTCACCATTACACTCGTATTACCCAATTTATTAAACGAAAAAGGGAAAATACAGTAAAACATTTTGGACGTTACAATTATCATTTATTATTTATTATATTATTTATGGCATCTAGTTTACAGTATTACATATTTCACATACAGTATTATTATACATAGTTCTTACAAATACTGTAATCAATGGCGTGCAACCTCCACGATTTTCTTGCCATCTTTGATCATATCCAAAAGTTTTACCTTTTCCTGGATGGTGAGCATCTTCCTCTGGCACTTATTTTTATTGTCAGAAGACTTAGAAGAAGCAGCTCGTTTAGGAGCCATCATAGGGCTTAGATAAAATTTCTTTAAAATCGCAAACAATTACAGTACACTGTACAAAAGCAAAAATGCATCTGATACGTAGCTCCGATACGTAGCGATGCAGACAGAAGCGTGTACAGTATGAGCCAATCAGTGGCAGTAATGACAGAGCATGCTCTGTTACGCAAAAACCGCGATAGAGTGAAGCCACGGAAGTTGAAGCGCGAAGTGGCGAGGGTTCATTGTATAGATAAGCGATTGGTTGGTAGAGAATTCTGTAAGTAGAACCCCCAGGTCTCATTTTCGATGGAATCTTTGAACTTGGGTTGTAGGAGCCATCTGAGGTCAACCCTCTCCATGGAAATTAGATAACAATGTCGCAATTCACCAGGGAAGAGGAGAGAGGAAATAGACGGTTCCTAAGTTACCCAGACTGGTCCATCCTCCCATGGAGACCACGGCCCGGCCCCCAGTCCATGTAGTGCCCCTGGCAAGTCCCACAGTCAAAGCAGAGGCGTTCCTTGAACTCTCTATCTTCTTCATTTGGTCCCAGGACTTGGTGGCTCCTTTGGTTGTATGTGATTTGGGATAAACGTTGGTTCCCTTCCATCTAATCCAGGGGTTCTCAACCTTCCTAATGCCGCCACCCTTTCATACAGTTCCTTGTGTGGTGGTGACCCCCAACCATAACACTATTTTCATTGCTGCTTCACAACTGTAATTTGCTACTATATTTTCATTGTGACAAATTGAACATAATTAAAGCAGAGTGATTCATCACAAAACAATATGTGATTATATATTGTGAGATAGCTATGTGTTTTCCAATGGTCTTAGGCGACCGCTGGGAAAGAGTCGTTCAACCCCAAAAGGGGTCGCAACCCACGGGCTGAGAACTGCTGCTCTAATCCAGCGCTTTAAGACGGAGTCCATGGTGAGCAGCAGGAAGCAATGAGAAAGGTGGGTGCTTTCAATACCAGCTTCTGGGGAAGACATCCTGCAGACTACTGACCAGCCTCCTTGCTTTATTTCTCGTCATCCCTTCTTGCTTCTGAGATCTTTCTCTCCCAGGTGAGAGTGGTGCGAAGGTCCAACACCCCGCTATGATGCACTCCACCGGAAACGATAATGCTGCACTGCAATACAATGACGAAGGCACTGACAGTTTCAGTCTGACGCAATAGTTAGAAATGTTCGGGGAACACGTGAGCGCTGCCTCATCAGAAGGCGGTTTGGAGCTGTTTGCATTTCACAGGCCCAACTTTGAATCCAATATGCTTGCGACCAAATACAGTAAGTCTCAAATATCCTTTTCACTCAGAAACAGCAAGATGCATTGAGGCAGGAAAGAACGGAAGTGGATAGAAACAGGGAGAGAGAGAGAGAAACCCAATTTCTTGCACTTATTGTCAGCAATCCTCAGAACTTGATTCCAGGTTTGGCAAGCACCCCCGATGGCCCTTCGTCAACTTGTGTCTGTTCATTTGCGCTTTGAGGAATGATGCTTTGGTCTTTCCACTGTGGTGTGGGCATGCTGTGCCTGTAATTCCCCACTCCCCCATTTTGACCAATGTCTATGCCCCTGCTTGAGTATCATCAGGTGCCCAGGTGAGACAGTGGGTAATACACTGGGTTGCCAATCGCAGGATCAGTGGTTCTAGGCCACCAGCCGTTTCTGGCAAGAACGATGAGGCTCTGCTCCCGTAAAGATTTACAGCCTCGGAAGCCCAACGGGGCAGTTCGACTCTGTCTTGTCGGGTAGCAATGAGTCAGGATCGACTCCAAGGAGGTTGGTTGGGTTTTCTGTTGAAATCTCATCTAAATGACCGGGAAACAGCTCTTTCTCTGATCTTTTCCTTCTAAAGCACTTTTACAAAACTGAGTAATTACGTGGTTTCCTGCTTTCAGGGTCGTCGGAATAGATAAATAAGTAGCCAAATCTTCAGAAGAAGGTCAACAGAGGTTGGAGTGAGAATTAAGCAACTTTTTTTTTTAAACCGAAAACGAACAGTCCATCTCTCACCACAACCCAAGCTCATTGCTGTCATTGTGATTCCAACCCATAGGGCCCCCATATGACCCGATCGGACAGACAGGGGTCCTCAGGGGAGCAGGATGCCGCACCACCTTCTCCAAGCCAGCAGGTGGTGGGTTGGGACCGCCTCACTCTCAGTTAACCGCAGAGCACTTTAACCACCGCCCCGCCAAGGCTCCTGCCACCACACCCAGGACCAACCAGGAGACTCCCCACCAGGGAGTCAATGCTGCCTCACAGTGACCTTGAGACTGTGTGGGAGCAGCCAGCCTCGTCTTCTCTCCTGGAGCAGATGATGGGTTTGAACTGCAGACCTTACAGTGAGCAACCCCAACCCCTAACCCACAGCCCCACGAGAGCTCCTTCCACCACCTCCAGTCACGAGAATTTTAAAGACCCCTCTCTCTGTCTCTTTCTGTAGAAAGAAGTTGGGTCCTCCCACAGCTCAAACTAAGAGGAACAAGGGAATAAAAATGTTAACAATCATTACCTTATGACATATTGGTTTCAGAGGGGATGTGTGAATGAGAGGGGTGGACAAACTAACCGAAACGTAAAGTGGATTCCGGTGGGAGCGATATTAAAACTGGACTCCAGAAAGCTGCTATGATCTTGCTACTAATTAAAATGATATCACCTAGCTTTCTTTATTTATAACTTGGGAAGAATGGGGACAGCACTAAACTCTAAAGGACAGAATATTATTTTTCTTCTAAGAATTACATTTAGTGGGGGAAGAAAGGGGGAACAGACCACAGGGATCTACATATAACCTTCTCCCTGGGGATCGGACAACAGAAAAGTGGGTGAAGGGAGACATCGGTCAGTGTAAGACATGAAAAAATAATAATTGATAAATGATCAAAGGTGAGAAAGGGAGGGAGGGTGGGGGAGGGAGGGGGAAAACGAGAAGCTGATACCAAGGGCTCAAGTAGAAAGAAAATGCTTTGAGAATGATGAGGGCAACAAATGTACAAATGGACTTGACACAATGGATGGACGGATATATTGTGATAAGAGCTATATGAGCCCCCAATAAAATGATTTTTTTAATTAAGAAGGGGAAAAAAAGTATATTTATTCTTGTATCCATATTGTTTTAATGTTCATACATATATTCTGTTAAGACTTTTCCTAATTATGTACCTGTCTATGTGCATAATGTGAAATTTGCAATTACAACTTTCAAATCTATATATGTTCACTAAGATGCATAGTCTACTTTGAAATATTTCAGCCTTTTTACATTTACAAAAATGATAACAGAAATATTATCACTAAGAGTATTATATTCAAATGATATATTTGCTTGGGGATTATTAAATACAAAATACATTTCATGACTACAATGATTTTTCACTTACTTATTTGTAACATCAAGGCAAGGGTTTTGCACAAGCCTGAGTTTATTGAAATAAAATTTACATCAAATGTGCATGGTTAATTTGCATGAAAGCCCACCCTTCTCCCCTTCTCAGAAACAGTTTTTGATTACACAGGATATATAACTTAGCATGGAACAACATTCCACAGTTGTTCAAGCCTACATTTGAATTACATTTTTAAGAATTAAAAAGGGAAATACAATTGTTTAAGATTCAATGAAAATCACTTCCGATTTCCCTACTCTTTTTATTCTCTTCCTTGACGACTCAGAGTTTATTTCTCAGTTGCAGCAATCCTCTAGCTCAATCCAGTGGCTGATGGAAGGCTCTGCTGTGACACTCAGAATCCTGCCGAGGTCCTCCCCAACATAAGCTAGAGGGGGTCAAAGTAAGTACACACTGGCTCTTCAGAGAAAATAAGTACACACCGGATCTTCAGAGAAAATAAGTACACACCGGCTCTTCAGAGAAAATAAGTACACACTGGCTCTTCAGAGAAAATAAGTACACACCGGCTCTTCAGAGAAAATAAGTACACACTGGCTCTTCAGAGAAAATAAAATGTAAAAGTCACCCTTCAGTTCTAGCTCAGATTAACTTCTAAAAATCCCAAACAGCTAGATCTGTGCCATCCGATGGGGGAGTCCTATCCATTACAATGAAAGAAAATGAAATCTTTCACGACACTGACCACCTTCCAAGTGCTCGGGAACCACACGTGTCTGATCACACCACTGTTGAAGGGTGTGAGCATAATAGGCTATTTCCATTACGGTGGCAGTTCTAGAGGAATATGCCATCAAATCAGCTACCAATACATCTGAGGTTTGGTATACCTTTCTTCCTTGCTGGTGAAAATGTGCCTGGTTAAGCTGTTATCAAAGAGAGTCCGTCAGAATCCTGCTAGTTTCATCCCAAGACCAAATCCATTGCCGTCCAATCAAACCCTACAGACCAAGAAGAGCCGCCCTATGGATTTTTTGAGGCTGCACATCCACAGGAGAGCAGAAAGCCTCGTCTTTCGCCTGAGGAGCAGTACGTGGGTTCGAACTGCTGACCTTGTAGTTAGCAGCCCAGCCTGGAATTCACTACACCACCAGGGTTCCTGACATATTTATCCAGTTCTTCTAATGCACATGTTTTGATGTAAGAGTCAGTAACAAGCCCCATCTCGGCCAATGTAAACACAGTCTTCAGGGTTCCCTCTGGGCTGTCGCATCCTGGTCATGACGGAATTCTTTGGGTACAGTTAGGAATTTTTCATCACTGGGGATTAGTTGCCCTGATTACCCTCCATGGCCACTGTGGGGGTGAAATGAGGAGCGGGCCCTGAGAACATGACCCCAGCTCCTTGCTCTGAGATGGGTACCAGAGTTGTCTAGGCTTCCGCTCAGAGCAGGATGGCCTTCTACGTAGGCCAATGCAAGGTTTACTGTGGGCATCCATGCCCATGCATCCTGGTTTACTGTGGGCATCCATGCCCATGCATCTTGGACCAGGGCTGCCAAGTCAAGGTTTGCTGTGGGCATCCATGCCCACGCATCCTGGTTTACTGTGGGCATCCATGCCCATGCATCTTGGACCAGGGCTGCCAATTCAAGGTTTGCTGTGGGCATCCATGCCCATGCATCCTGGACCAGGGCTGCCAATGCAAGGTTTGCTGTGGGCATCCATGCCCATGCATCCTGGTTTACTGTGGGCATCCATGCCCATGCATCCTGGACCAGGGCTGCCAATGCAGGGTTTGCTGTGGGCATCCATGCCCATGCATCTTGGACCAGGGCTGCCAATGCAAGGTTTGCTGTGGGCATCCATGCCCATGCATCCTGGACCAGGGCTGCCAATGCATCATCTGAGTATCACATGTCCCAGCCCTTCCTGCCTTCATCGCCCGACGTCTACAGAAAGTCTCTCCTGAAGGCTCTAAGGACAGCCTCCACTTTCCAAAATGTAAATTTTTTTAAGGATAGAAATAGTCCTTTGTATCAACCTAAGGAGCATAATTCGTAGTAAAAGAAATGATGCAAAATAGCCAAGTAAAACCAATCTGATTAGTGCAGTAGAAACGCTCGTGGCCAACGCTTCCATCCCTTGATTTCTGAACACCACGCTGTCTACTTCAGAGTTTGGTCTTCAAATTATACTTGTGTACTATGATACATTTTCTCAAATAGTAAGTGGTACACTGCTTGGAAAGAATGGTGTCCGGATTAATGAACTTGTCAAGAGATCAGCCCACTTGCCTGTTCTCTAGTCTGCACTGGACGGTATTCCTTCCTGGATGACTAGTGGGGAACATCTTCTTAACAACGAGGGCTATCATTTCTAGGCTTTGTCCTGAAGCAGCAGCTAGCATCTCGGTATGCCATGACGCGCGCATCACACGTGGCTTTACATGTCACAGGACAGTCGGATCTGGCCATCTTCTAACAGGTGGTATCAAAGTTGAAGGCTAAAGGATACTTTCGTGGTATAGCTGGGCACACTCTCTGTAAGAAAAGGAGGCGGTTTTACTCCTTGTAAACACATAGCGCGGCCTATGGCAGCACATCAGTTGGCACCACTCCATGTTTTCAATGTAGAGCTAATGCACTTATCACCCTTAAGAGAGTCATCTTAATGTAGCCAAGCTTTAGAGATATTTGCACCTAGGCTGCATTTAACGTTTTAAAATTTTTATGAGCAAGCTTCCCAATTAACTTGAAATGCAAATGAATACAGCTACATAAGAACTTTAGAAACTGTCTGACTCTCTGCTAATAAAAGTTGGCAATATACAAATAGATGACCAAGGTCTAAGGGCTAAAGTGGAATACACTTTTAAAGTTTGGGAAATTCCTAAACCAAGTACAATTGATTTTTTTTTTTGGTAGTACTGAGCTTTTTAAAACTTTTTATTATGAATTAGGTGGAGGTTTATATATCAAATCGATATTTTGCAACTCAAGCAATGCATAAGGTGACCAGGTTTAAAGCGGGACACCATTGACTGGGTGGGGTGGGGTGTTCTTGATTAAAAACTTGGTCGATATGGACCAAATAGACCGTTCCCTAGCTTGTTGTGCATTCTTTCCAAAAATCGGGCCTTTTTAAAACGCCCAAAATCAGGACTATCCCACCAAAAGCGGGACGTCTGGTCACCTTAACCAAGTACCAAGTTACGAAGTAAGCCTGCTCTCTGCGTGGCTCCTCCCTCTAGTTCCGGCCTCCCTTCACAAGCCAAATTTTGTAAATGAGAAAAATCTGACAAGTTTTCTTTTCAGCATCAGCATCACCTGAGAGCTCATTAGCATACACATGCCTGGGCCCCCACCCCAGAACTGCTGTGTTGGGGCCTCCCGGGATCCCTAAAGCCTAAAGACCCCCTGGGAGCTTCCCTTCCCCAATGTTCTTGAATCACAAGAGGTGAGAAGTCCTGGGAACTGCCTACATAGACTTTTCCCCCTTTTTTCACCATAGATTATGTGATACATTATGTGATACATTATGTGACCCACGTACTGGCATGATGGGGAGGGTGGTGGGGGAGGGGAAAGAGGAGAGACACTCAGAGAAGAAAAGAAAGAATTTCCTTTGAATGAAAACACACGCCTGGTCTCATGAAGGTTAAACTTTAAGAAACTGTCATTTTTTGTAGGTTAAAGCCAGCCAGATATTAGCGCTATCGTTTGGTTCAACTTAATATGGATAGATGGAAAACAGGGTCACTATAATTATTTAGAAATAAGTGAACGAATTCCAAATTTGTCATCACGAAGGTTAACTTTTAAAAGCAGATTATTTTATTTCTGGCCACCTAGATCCCAAATTTAAAAGCTAGTTTCTCTAATTCTCTTAGTCTCCTTCATAATAGCACTTAAATATAATCATGAGAAATTAAAACAAATACTAGCAAGTTGCTGGGGTCTTTTTACAAGAAGAAAATCAAACAGCCCAAAGATGCATTTTGGCAAATAGATATTTCTATATTTTGGATTCGCTTTTAACACAGAATTCTAGTTTATTTCATAATATTCAACAGCATATACCATCAAACTGACTATCATTAAGTCGATTCCGACCATGAGACCCTATAGATGAGAGTAGAATGGTCCCCGAGGGGTTTCCAAGGCTGTACATCTTTAAGAGAGTAGAAAGCCTCATCTTTCACCCCAAGAGCAGCTGGTGGTTTCAAACTGCTGACCTTTCGGTTAGCAGTCCAACCGTAGTCCACTACATCCCCAGGGCTCCTATGCAGTCAATATTAGAGACCACAAAATAGATTAGCATTAATTATATAGCATTTTTCTCAACTTAAATTTTTCTTCATTTCCCTGGCATTTTTTTAAATTAAATAATCATTTTATTAGGGCTCATACAACGCATCACAATCTGTACATACGTCATTTGTGTCCAGCATATTAGTACATATGTTGACGTCATCATTCTTACAACACCCGCTTTCCACTTGAGCCCTTGGTGTCTGCTTATTTTCCCCCCTCCCTCCCCGCTCCCCTCTCCCCCCTGATAATTTATAATTTATTATTATTTTATCATATCTTACTCCATCCAACGTCTCCCTCACCCACTTCTCCGCTGTCCGTCCCCCAGGGAGGAGGCCACATGTAGACCTTGTCCTCTGTTCCCCCTTTCTCCCTCTCCTTCCCTCCACCCTCCCGCCATCGCCACTCTCTCTACTGGTCCTGGAGGGTTCATCAGTCTGGGTTCACTGTATTTCCAGTTCCTATCTGTGCCAGTGCACCTCCTCCGGTCCAGCCGGATATGTAAGGTAGAATTGGGATCATGGTAGTGGGGGGGAGGAAGCATTCAAGAACCAGAGGAAAATTGCATATTTCATCGTTACTACAATACGCTCCGATTTGCTCCTCTCCTCCCCGCAGCCCTTCTGCAAGGGGGATGTCCAATTTCCCCCAGATGGGCCCTGGGTCCCCACCCTGCACTCCCCCTCATTCACAATGTTATGATTTTTTAAATTTTTTTTGCTCTTTGATGTCCCTGACATTTTTATTCATCTTCACATATCTGAATGCAACTAATCAGGTTCGGACTCTAACAAGGCACATCCCTCTGCTGGGTTTTCAGAGGGTGAGAGGGAACCTGCCCATCTTCAGTAGCAACTGTGCTGCTTCCTCCCTAAATCCGCAGACTGGATTCTCTCAGGTCTGAACCTGCCTGGCTTATCAAAAAGGTGGAAGGGGAGGAGGAGAAGTTGGAACAAGAAGGAGAGGAGGAGGAGAAAGAAAAGAGATCACTCTCTGGCACCCTCCAACCGAGAGGAGGTGGTGCTTAGAATCAAGACTGACGTCAGCCCCGTGTGTGCTTGTGACAGGAGGAAAGGGGCTCTATTCCTTCCAGAACACCATGGCCATCTTGTCCCAGCAGGTGCCATGGCGTCACTTCTGACTCAGAATGCTGTCACTCAGCTCTTTTAAAAGAGCCAGTGGGATCTGGCTCAGAGAGGAACGCTTGCCCTCTTTTCCCGAGGTACTTCCACTTCCTGCACTCCACCACCCATGGGCACCAGAGGGGACCCTAGTGGCCCAGTGGGATAGATATTGAGCTACTAACAGCAAGGGCCACAGTGCCACCCCATCAGTTGCCCCAGGAGGAGAGATGAGGTGGCTGTCTGCTCCCGTAAAGACTGACAGTCTCAGAAACCCAAAGGGGCAGTTCCACTCTGCCCTGCAGACTGGGTCTCTATGCCTCAGAATCGACTCCGTGGCGGTGGATTTGGGTTCATGGGCAGCAAAACTGCATGGGTCTATTTCCTAATCTACCGTCTTCTGTTCTCCCCTTGTGCATTCTTGATGTAAGTGTACCTTGGTTCGTATAAGTTCAAAGGTTGAATTAAATGGGAGTTTTTTTATTGAACCTTATTTCCCCACTAACTTAGAAAACTGTTTTGCAAGCATGCGTCTTGCTAATCACTCACGTGCAGTGTGCAATGTCTCGCTGGCATTTTAAATGTGTTTCCCAGCCTCTCTGTCAAATAGTGGATGAACTATCAAATATTCAAGTGCACTAAGAAAGTCAATATTTTAAGAGCACGTGTCTTTTTTTTAGTAAGCGGAAGAACAATCTATAGAGTGAAACAACTAGACAATTGTGTTCGTTTTATTGGTATCAGTGCATGAGTAAGTAGATTACTATATTCCTTTTAAATAAAAATAACTCACCTCGTTCTTTAAGATCTTCAATATAGGCTTTCATAAATTCTTTATCAAAATGTTGGCGATCTTGTTCGCTCTCCAGCACCTCATCGTCATCTTGACCTTGGGTATTATCAATAGGATTGTCCATAAGACTGACAAATCTATTCCAGAGAATAGAGGAAGCAATGTAAATTTACTATCCATGTTTTTACTTAAAAATTCCTCGCATAGAAAGCCTAATGGCCTCCTGGGACCATCGCCTCCCTGCCGTGAGATCAGAACTGGATGGGGCCCAGTCACCATTTCTAAGAATCTTGATCAAAGGGTCTATGGAAGAATCCTGAAAGAGAATCGTGATTTCCATTCAGCAGAGGAAACCCTGTGAGTGGTCCTGATCACAATCGCAGGCCTTGCTGCCCTGGGGGGCTAGCTAGCATTATTGGTTTGCAGAAGAATGGGGGATAGATGGCCCATATCTGCCACAGTTTAGTATGTATGTATTGTATTGGCTCAAGTTCCTCTTAATTTTGTTTAAATGGAGAAAGTAAAGATTTTAAATATCTATATAGACAAATCCACTCAACATTGCCTTGATGCTTTCTTTCATTGGATTTGTTTACAGTCCTGACAAATCTGAAAGGAAGAGATCAAGCTATATTTTATTATTCTTTGCATTTTTATCAAAATCATTAGTCTATATTTAGATTTTTGACTAGGGCACCAGTAATTTGTTAAAGCATTTCTCCCTGTCCCTTTCCTTTCCCAAACTTCTCACCCCCCAAAAGAATTATCTAGACTTGTACTTCTTCAACATTTTCTTATAAAAGTCTACAAGCTTTTCCAACATTTTATTATGAACATTTTCAAACATCCAGAAAATTTGAGATAATTTTATAGTGAACACCCAAGCCCCCACCGTTTGGATTCCATGTTAAACAATTTACTACAGCTGCTAAATCACATATCCTTCCTAGTCTAGGCATCCCTCTAGCTCAGTGGTTCTCAACCTTCCTAATGTCACGACCCTTTCTTACAGTTTCTCAGGTGGTGGTGACCCCCAACCATAAAATTATTTTCGTTGCTACTTCATAGCTGTAATTTTGCTACTGTTATGAATCAGGCGACCCCTGTGAATGGGTCATTCAACCCCCAAAGGGGTTGCAACCCACAGGTTGAGAACCACTGCAGTCTACCTAAAAATGTGTTTCAAAGCACATCACTGGCATCCTGTACAATTCCCATTCGAATCTGTTACCCTACTTTATACTTCTTTGTTTTGCCTATAGTTTGAGTCTACAATTGAAAATCCATCAACAGTACTTATGTTTTGGTTACAACGTAAAAACTTTTCTCTTCAAATGGGCATTACAGCTACACCATCTATGTCTATATAGATTTCCCCCCTATTATTTCAAGGTTTCTATTGACCCCTTTCCCTCCCCTTCTCTGCTCTACTGTATATCTTCCTTATAGCATCATTTTTTAAAAATTCTCTCTGCAAGCATATTCTCTGACTCCTTCCCCCATCCCAGCCTCACTCTGAGGGTCTTGTCTTGCTCAGTCTTGGGGGAGGCTCTCTGGACTGCTGCAATCAGCCATCAGAGAGACACTTCTGCCCAGGCTTCCTGAACCAGACCCATCGCTCTCTGCAGTTGGGGCTCCCCTCCTTGGTTGCTGGCCCAGTCTGAGGAAGCACATCCTCAAATAGCTTCTAGAAAGTGATGAGTTGGAAGCAACCTTCCTGAGTCTCTCTATATCAAGAAAGGTGAACCGTTTGTCCTCATGACTGGTGGAGAAACGAGCGCAGGGGGCACAGTGGGTAAGCACTTGGCCGCTCTCTAAGGTTAGTGGTTCGTACCCACCAGCTGCTCCAAGGGAGAAATCGGTGGCAGTCCACGCAGGAGGATACCATGGGAACCCCAGGAGGGAATGCCACAGCTCTCTGCTGGCACTCAGGGTTATCGCAAGTCTGAATCTTGGCCCTGGCCACTGGTTGGTGAGCTGGTCAGCACCGAATTCTAGAATGAAATCTCTCCCGCTGAGAGCGAAGGCACTGTGCCAACATCTTTCAGCAAACAAGATTGTCAGTGGCCCTCTCGTGAGCTGTAATCTCTGTCTTAAAACTTTTGGGGGATCCTTCGAAAGCTCAAGGTGAGATGTTTTTTAATCCCCCTGCGCCACCCCACCACCAACACCACTACAACCAACTCCACCACTACCACCAACAATACACAACAACACCCAGGGAATTCTATTAGGGGTTTTGGGGTGTTTTGTTTGTTTGTTTTGTGGTTGTTGTTTTTATCTAGACCAGAAGCTCCTTTGCTTCAGCTCTGGAAAATGATTTTATATTATGTAGTAGAAACCTCTCCTGCTATCACTTTTGGGTATCGCCAGTAGACATGTATTTATATATATTTTTAACTGCTTATTTTGACATTATTGTAGATTCACAAGAAGTTGCAAGAATAGTACCCAAATCCCTTCACATCCCTTCACTTCACTAGGTTTTATCTTTCTTGGTTGAGAACCTATCTCTCTCCTCTCCCCTCTTCTCTGGTCTTTTCTCTCTCCCTTCCTTTCCTCTCTGTGAGCTCCTCTTTCTAGGGGCTATTTAAGGGCAGGGTGAGGTGGGAAAAGGAAGAAGAGCTGTCTTACATCCGTGTCAATCTTGGGCTTGTACAAGGCTTGTACAAGGTCAATCTTGGGCTTGTACATGGCTTGTACAAGGTCAATCTTGGGCTTGTACATGGCTTGTACAAGGCCCCTCCTCTTCCCATAGTTAAGCTTCTTTATTCTGTTTGCCTCGTGTCTTAATTATGGCAACAGCTAAGCACTTGACTCATAACTGAAAGGTTGACAGTTCAAACCCACCAGAGGTACCAGGCCTGTCTTCCTAGGCATCTCCGGATGGGCTTCAACCCCCAGCCCTTTACAGCAGCATGCGGCACTCAGCGGTCTGTGCTACCCAAGATCTGTGGGACCCTCAAGTGATCAGTACCATTGGTCCAGAAATCCCCTGAGCAATTCTTTCCTGGGCCATTTACAAAAGCTTCACAATCCTGCCCAGAAAGGACACGGAGATTGCTGTGAACCAGGCCTTAGGTGCTCGGAATAAAACCATCACCTAATGCAGTTCCCCAGACAGCCGTCCAGACTCCGAGGGCTCCTCCCTCCTTACCCTGGGTCTAGACGCGTCTCTGCTGGGTCTCTGGTCTACTCACTTTAGGGGCGTGGATGCATCACAGAGGGCAGTGGGCAGCTGCACCAAACAGTCCCCACTGACAACGAGCAGAGAGAGCTTCTTCAGGTTCAGCAGGACGTCAGGGAGATAGGTCAGCTTGTTCTTGTACAAGAGGAGGGCTTGCAGCTCTTCCAGCCTAAGAAGAAGGGGAGAGGGAGCCGACCAGAAGAACTCACTCACGGGGCTTCAGCACCAAGAAGGCGGACTTGGACGACACATCAATTCTTGTAGGGAATCCCCGCTTCATTCACAGATGTGACGCAGATGAGAAGGCACTCATTTCGAAATTTACATAAAGTCATGCCAAGATGACACAATTCATCTCTTCGGTTTTGACTGACCCAGATGTAGCAGCAGGGCCACTAAGCCGTGTGATGCACACAGAGTAGACCATGCTGAGAGGCACTGGGTCCACGGCAGGACTATCATGGAGACCCAGCTTCGGTTTCAGGTCTACGCACCTCCTGTGTGTCTGTCATCGGGCACATGCACGCTGCGGGGAGGCTCGCTAAATCAACGTCAGTGGAGCATGCAAATTAAAAGGGATTAGGAAGAAAGGCCTGGTGATCTACTCCAGAAAAGCCGTGGCCCTCACGGTGAATGTCTTCCACATGCCTGAGGGTCAATCGGGCCGTGGAAAGAAAACTAGAAGAGCTGGAGGGAGGATCAACACATTTGGGTGGCACACTCCCTTTGAGACATTTCCCTCCTGTCTTTCCTAAACTTGCAGAGGACATGAACAGACTATGCGCCAACTAGGTTTTATTCAGCCCCCTGCTGTGTTCCAACTCCGTCATCACCCCCTGCCCTTCAGTTCATCTGTTTCCTTCCTTTGCCAGATCTCCCCTGACCCCACACGTAGTTCACCAAGGACTCCAACATGGTGTTTCAAAGGAAAACACTCCCCACTTAGTATCGCCAACCGTGTGGCCCAGCCAGGTTTCCGACCTAAATCATTGTTGGCCTCTGCATCCCTGCAGTTGACGTATACTACTTTATAAAGCAGGTTGCGGGCCCCAGTGGGCTAGAGAATTTGTTTCCTGCCCCGCTTTAACCCCCAGCCCATTCACCAGACCTGCCATGCAGGAGCCGCAGGACAGCTGAAGAATGAATGATTCTCCTGTGGTTCTGTGCGATAACTACTATTTAAGTCTGAAATAACAACAAAGAGATCGTCTGGAAATCTCACTAAGCCTATCACTATTACTTCACAAGGGTCTGTAGAAAACCAGCAAGCAAAATGAACAAGGTTTTCCCTCGCTGATATTCTAAACAGAGTATTATGCCTCTCTTTCCTATGGAATAAATTTAGGAGCCCTGGTGATCAGTGGTTCAAAACCACCGTTGGCTCTGAGGGAGAAAGATGAGACTCTCTGATCCCAAGAGTTATCAGAGGGTTTAGATGGGTCAGAATAGATGTGGTGGCAGTGGGTTTGGGTTCTTTGCTTGTTTGTTTGTTTGTTTCCTCCTTCTGCAGAGTTATTGGTGTCGTTCGATTGAAGATGAAGCAGATGCAAGTTCGCCACGACAACAGAACGGTGGTTTAAAGGCAGGTACCGGTGCATGTGCACAGTGCAGACTGGAAGCTGTCTTTGTCTACACAGAACCAAAGTAGCCTTCCGGAAACTTAAACTCTTGGAAAGGAAGGCTAGTTGGCCTAGTATGCGTGTTGACAGGGTTAGCAGGGATTAAGGCGTTAGGAACTAATGCATGCACCTCACCTGCAGACGGCACGTAGCTACCTGTCTATGTCTTGCGGCAGGTCATTTAGATGATTGCTGCTGATATCCAACCACTGCAGACTAGACATCCTCAAGACACAGATCGGGACGCTGGAAAACGCGTTGGCTGAGAGATCGATAAACGTAACTCGCTTCAAATGACTTAACTAGAAAGGAATATCATGATAGTCTAGTTACGACTGTGAGACTGAGAATTATCATCTACATGTAATCTTTAGATGGGTGTTTCCTCCACCCCACTGCTACCCCCAAGAAGGCATTTCTATAAACAGATGCAAAACAGATCAAACGCCAACGTCAATTTTTCAGCCCCGACTAGGTGTCATTCCCTATATTGTGTGCCGGGGATGCCGAGGTCACAGCAGGTTGGGGCTGCCTTGGGCTTCTGGAAATGAACCTTGCCATTTTCTGTCGCAAGAACCTGCTGTGAGGCATTTCCACGTGCAATGCTAGGCGACACAGAGGACGCGGTGACTACTCTCGCTAACACTGCAGTGGTAAGAGTCGGGTGGGGGGAAGGGACTTAATGATGAAACCGTTATGTGTCCTGAAGACGATGTTACAAATACCTTTCACAGGCCGCACGTGGACAGGCAGAAGGGCAGTCGGCTGGGAAAAAGATGAAGCTTTCTGCTTCCATAAAGAGCTGGGCCAACTGGAGATCCCCTTGCAGAGGGGTCTCGGGGAGGAGATGAGCCAGTCAGGGTGCGATGTAACAATGATGAGAAATACAACT